AAAATTCAGAATGTTGAAAGAAATAAAATATTTTTTCAATGCAAATTGATTTTAAAAAATTACAAACTAAAATCAAATTAAAAACGTAAAATAAACATTTTGAAAATTTATAAATTATTATTTTAATGAAAGCATTGTAATTATTGGAAAAAAATTTGAATTTGAAAAAGAAATCTTTTGGGTTCCAATAAATAAAAACTTAACAACAACTCTAAATTCAAACTAAATTATTTATATAGTATTATTTTATTATTATTTTTTTATTAATGATTTTTTTGATTTAAATAAAAATTTGCTTTAGAGCAAATAGCATTTTTTTGAACCAAGTAAAATTTATTTGAACCAAATAAAATCTTTTTGAATCAAATAAAATTTTTTTTAATCAATTAAAATTTATTTGAACCAAATAAAACTTTTTTTGAATGAATTTAAATTTATTTGAACCAAATAAAATTATTATTTAAATCAAATGAAATTTTTATTTGAACCAAATAAAATTTATAAATAAACCAAATAGAATTTTTTTAACCAATTGAAATCAATTTTAAACAAATAGAAAAATTGTTGTATTTACTTGTTTTAAATAAAAATTTGCTTTAGCGCAAATAAAATTTTGTTGAACCAAATAAAATTTTTTTGAATCAATTATAATTTATTTGAACCAAAATAAAATTTTTATTTAAACCAAATAGAATTTTTTTGAACCAATTAAAATTGATTTTAAACAAATAGAAAAATTGTTGTATTTACTTGTTTTAAATAAAAATTTGCTTTAGCGCAAATAAAATTTTGTTGAACCAAGTAAAATTTATTTGAACCAAATACAATTTTTTTGAATCAATTAAAATTTATTTGAACTAAATAAAAATTTTTGTTGAATCAATTAAAATTTATTTGAACCAAAATAAAATTTTTATTTAAACCAAATAAAATTTTTTTGAATCAATTATAATTTATTTGAACCAAAATAAAATTTTTATTCAAACCCAGTAGAATTTTTTTGAACTAATTAAAATTGATTTTAAACAAATAGAAAAATTGTTGTATTTACTTGTTTTAAATAAAAATTTGCTTTAGCGCAAAAATTTTGTTGAACCAAGTAAAATTTATTTGAACCAAAATAAAATTTTTATTCAAGCCAAATAAAATTTTTTTGAATCAATTAAAATTGATTTTAAATAAATAGAAAAATTTTTGTAATCAATTGAAATTCATTTAAAATAAATATCATTTATTTGAAATGATTAAATTTTTTTTGAACCAGCAATTAAAGTTTATTTTGAAACAAATAACATTTATCGATAATTTTAACTTTATTATTAACTAAAATGTAGTTGGACCAAATAAGATTTATTTGAAAGAAAGAAATAATTTATTAGGCTATGAGTCAAATATATTTTTTCTTTGGGCGTAATAATTGGAAAACTAAGATTAAGATTCATTTTTTTTTTTCCTCAAAATGAATAAAAAATGAATAAAAATAAAAATTCCCAACTATGAATAACAGAATATTTCCGAAAAATTCGTCTCGGGAAATTTCTCTAGAATACAATAAATTCACAATGTCATTTGCGTTGTTACAACTAAATTTAAATTTCTTTATAAATTCATATAGCCACTTAGAATTTTCCCAGAAGAAAATTTTATCCAGGAAGACTCCGCATATATTTATAAATGGATTTCAAAAAAAAAAAAAAAAAAAAAAAAAATTAACTCTCATACTTTATTTTCTGTCATTCATTCCTGTCATTTCCCAAAGTTCTTTAAACTCAACTTTCTTTTCTGTTTCTTTTCCTCTTTCTTTCTTTCTCTTCTCTATTTTTTTTCCTTCCACGTGAAAGTTCAATCGCCTGAAAATTAAATATTTTTTTTTGTCTCCTCATTCCATACATCTCTTCATATATATATTTGCGTGCGCGACGAACTGTCTTATTATTCTTAATTTTTTTTTTTTTTTTGCTTTTGCTACAATGTCCGCGGAATCGTTGAACTTTCGCGAGAAATTTTTTTTTCGTTTCTTTCTTTTTATTATTATTTTTTTTTTTTTGTGCGGCGTTGCACTTCCTGGCGAGTCACATAGAGTTTCGTGAAAGACATGCCGGATTCGTTGGCTTTGGCGAATGATAGGATAGCGCGGAGAAATTGGACATATGCCAGGCCCGGTATATACGCACCGAAAGTCACCGAGCTTTCACGACGTTCTGAATTGCGGCGGCGTCGCGACGCCATGCGACGCTCAGTGTCTCGCGAAACACATCCCGGGTGCTGCAAAAAAGAATAAAGCGCTCTCCCGCTTTTTTAATTGTGCTGAAAATCACATGAGAAGCAGCTGCGCTTTTTTTTATTTCTCGGTGTGTTTGGAAAAAAAAATAAATAAAAAAAAAATCTCAGGTGTTTTTTATAAAAAAAAAAAAATACTATGAAAAAATAAGTGAAATTTTTACAATTACAGGACCATTATAACAAAAAAAAAGTTGGAAGTGATTTTTATTTATAATTTTATATTACAAAAAAAAGGTGCGTAATTTTTAACTTTTCCCGCTCTCTTTTTTGTTTAAATTCACTGTCTCATTGTTAACGACAAAATATAACGAAACAACTTTTTTTTCTTTTAGTCTCTTTTTCAATTGATTCAAACTTTCAAGAAAGTTTACCAATGGAAATTTTTACCATCACCAAGAAAGTTGGAAATTTTAAATTCCGTTGAGTATAATTTTTCGAAATTTAAATTCAAGAACAAAACAGTTAAAACTTCTTACGAAGAGTTGAATAATAATTTCATAACTTTAAATAACCAAAAATTATAAAATTGATTATAAAGTTATTAGTTATTATAAAGTAATCAGAAAATGAATATATGAAATTTGAATTTGGGAATAAAAATTCGAATTTCAAGTGAAAAATATTATGAGCTTCAAAAAATTAGATCTAAAAACTAATTTAAAATATTTATATTAAAATTGACGATAAAAATTATTTAAAAATACTTATATCAAAATTAACTATAGAAAATAATTATTAATATTTCCATCAAAATTAACTATAAAAAATAATTATTAATATTTCCATCAAAATTAACGATAGAAAATAATTAAAAATATTTCTATCAAAATTAACGATAAAAATTAATCTTAAATATTTATATTACAATTAACGATAAAGATTAATTTTAAATATTAATTATTTAGAATTTAGAAAATTTATCTTAAACCAAAAAAAATTATATTGGAGTTAAAAATTAATTTATAACATTTATTAATTATTATTTAAAATTTGAAACATTTATAACATCTGGTGAAAAAATCGTGTGATTTAAAATAAGAGTTAAAAATAATTAAAAAATTGATTAAAAATATTTATATTTAGAATTCTTATTTCGAATTTTGAATTTAACTCCTGTTGAAAAAAAATGTGTGCTCTAAAATTAGAATTTAAAGTTAATTCAAAATATTTATAGTTTGATTTTTAAGAATGTAACTTCAAGTGAAAAAATTTTTGAGCCATTGAAGTTAAAATTGTTTTTATTAACATATTTATTAATATTTGAAATATTTATCTATTCATTTATTTACTCACGTTATTGTTGTTATTAGTGAATAATCGTACCTGGAACAGAAATTTTTTTTGATTATTAAAAATGTTTAAACATTTTTAGATCCTGTAAACAAAATTTTTTCTTTTTAAAATTTCTACAAAATTTTCTCCCTAACAGTCACTGCAATATTTTTAGTTCAAATTTGAATCCAGAAAAAAAATTGTAATCTAAATAATTAAAATAATATAATTAATAATCTAATTAAAAAATTAAATCACAAAATTACTTTTCTAAAAGTCAGTACAATATTTAGTTCAAAAAAATTAAATATTTTAGTTAAAACAATATTTTCAAATCCAAAAAAAATTTTTTTGGTTAAAAGAAGAATTATAAAATCAAAAAAAAAAAAAAATCTTTTCTAAAAATGGCAGCGGAATATTTTTAATTCAAACAATATTTTCAAATCGAAAGAAAATAATTTTTTATTTTAAAAAATCTTTGCAAAATTAAATTACAAAAATTCCTTTTGTAAAAGAAAGGTGCTTCATTTAAGTAGCTTTATTTATTTATTTATTATTAAATAAAAAATTAACTGCAAAGTTAATTATTTATTATTTAATAAGTAATTAACTTTAATATTAATTACTTATCACTTAATAAATAAATAATTAACTTTGCAGTTAATTTTTTATTTAATAATAAATAAATAAATAAATAAAGCTACTTAAATGAAGCACCTTTCTTTTACAAAAGGGATTTTTAAAATAAAAAATTAACTTTAAAATCAATAAGTCTTTGTTTGAAAAAAGCTTTGTTTAAATTCATTGAAACAAATGTCATTTAAATAATTAATTCATTTTTATTTTTATTCGATTAAAAGAAATTCCTTTCAGGGAATAAAATAATCAACTAAAATAAAAATTACGTTAATTATAAGAAAGTTGAGAATATTATTTATTGAAAAAAGTTCGCATTAATTTAATACTCAATTCAATTTTCCATTTCCATTTCACTAATGAAACTGTGCAACATTATTTATTCGTAATTTTTCAATATTCAATTATTGAAATTAAATAACTATTCACACACAACAATAACAAATTCAGTAAAATAATTAACAATTACAAATATCGTAATTTAAATTAAATTTGATAATCATTTTATTCCATTACTAAAAACATGTGTGATTTAATGCACAAATAAAAATAAAACAGCAAATAATCGTAAAAACGAAATATGAAAATATTTTCCGATAATTTTTTTTTTTTTATTAAAAAAAGCTCTCAAAGACAATAAGTAAATAAAATACAAAGAAAAATTTGTTTTTCAGGGAAATGCAAAATATATGTAAATATTAATTGGAAATGTTATTGTACGTAAATTGCGCCAATTAGCTAAAAACCAGTATAGACAATAAAGAAATTGCGAAATATTGTTTGTTGTTTTTCAGCAAAATTTTCTCGTTTAAAATACAGCTTTAAGAGCAATAAATTAATACTGTCGGGGTTTTAAACGAAACTCTAATTAAAGTGTACTTCATTTGTGGAACACGATATTTGATTTAGAAGCGTGGAATTCTATTATCGAAAATATTAAATTTAATGGAAGCTGGCAAGTTTAAGTCGATTATTATTGAATTAAAAAAAAAGAGGTGAAGAAAATTTTAATTTAATAAATAATAAACTTTTAATTCAATAAATAATAAACTTTTAATTTAATAAATAATAAACTTTTAATTTAATATGAAAATATACAATATAAATATATTTATCAAAATTATTTATAAATTCCACTTTCTGTTTCAAATTTATTTTATCGGATAATTCTTAAAATTCTTTTTCTCTAAATTATAAAAATTATCCAATTAACACTATTTAAATGTTCAATCAACTTATTATTAAAATTATTTATTTTTAATATTAATAACTTAATTTAATTCCATTCAATTGACATTTAAACTTCATTTTGTCCTTGAAAAAAAAATAATTGTAAAATAATTTATTTTCAATTTGTGTTATAACACAGATTGAAAATAAATTATTTATCAATTTTTTTTTAAAAGTATTTAATTAATTTAATAATTAAGTTTTTAATGTTTAAATACTCAATTACTGTAAATTATTTAAATTAGTCGCATTCTGTTCATATAATAAAAAATATATATGTTAATAATTAATATAATTTTCAGTCCATTTATAATAAATAAATCTTTTATTTAATTAATTAATGTAAAAATGTAAATTAGTTATTAATTATTTAATTATTAATAAATGACATTAATTAGTTAAATTAAATTAATTACAAATAAAAATTTATTAATATTTTATTCTGTTTTCTTTTCTTTCAGAGGAAAAATAATCCAAGTACCAACGAAGCTCTTTTCTTGCAAGAGGAAAAAAAAAATTTTTTCTCAAAACAATTATAAATTGTTGAAAAAGAAGAGAAAAATTCTTAACAAATGGATACGGTACCAATTTTAAATTCAATGGTCCTATTCTCACGTGAGACGAAATAAAAAAGAAAAAAAAAAGAAGGAAAAGAAATTTAAACATATCAAAAAAGAAGAATCAAAAATCAAATGCAACCTATCAATAAACAATTATCAATTTTTCAAAATCGAAAAAATCTCAAATTCCCTAGTGATTAATAATTTATACCATCTTATAGGATAATTTCCCGGAGATTTTTATTTCAAAAAAAAAAAAAAATTTTTTTTCTATCGATTTTCAAAGTGAGTGTTTTTATATTTTAAAAGGGGGTGAAAAAAAAGAAAAGTGTTAATTTTTTATTATTAATAAAGACGAGTGTTAAATAGAGTTCGGAGAATAGTTTTAAAAAATTCGAAAAGTAGTTTTAAAAAATTCAGAAAATAGTTTTAAAAAAGTTAGTTTTTTTATTCGGAGAATAATTTTTTTAAAATTCGGAAAATAGATTTAAAAAGGAAAAAAAAAATTCAAGTGTCATCAGAAGTCTTCCATTAGATAATGGCAGAGGAAACACCACGAAGAAAAACAAGATCGGCTTCAATTTGCGCTCCTGGTTTTTCAAGTATTGATAAAATGGTTGATTCAATGCCGCCTTCGGGTGCTAAAGAAAAGGATAGGGAAAGGGATAGCGGAAGTGGTACACCGGAAGGTAGTACACCAACAAGAAGACGACGACCTGCCACAAGGTCTCAAAGTGCACGAGTCACCGGTGGCGGTAAAAGTATTCGCCGAAGAGCTGCCGCTCAAGGTATTTTTTCACTATTTTTTCACTATTTTTTTTCCATAATTTTTTTGCCTATTTGTAAATTTTTTCCCTTTTTTATTCCCTTCCTTATTTTTTAATATTTTTCGTTTTATTTGTTGACTATTTGTAAATTATTTTTTTTATTTTATCATATTTTTTTTTATTTCTTTTTGCCTACCTGAAAATTTGTTTTTCATTGTTTTATTTCCTTCCTTATTTTTCACATTTTTTTTTCTTTTTGGTCTATTTGTAATTTTTTTCATTTTCTATTCCCTTATTTATTTTTTTGCCAATTTGTAAGTTTTTTCCATTTTCTGTTCCCTCGATAAAAAATGTTTTTTTAAAAATTAATTTCCATTGAACGAAAAAAATTGTAAATAAAAAAATATTAGCAATAAATGGTGAAAGATTAAAAATATATTAATAAATGAAGAAAGATTCTAAGTAAAAATAAAAAAAATGGAAAAAGATTATAAATAAAAATATAAGAATAAGAAGAATATTGAAAAAGATGAAAAAAAAATTAAAATTAAAAAAATTTTTTTTAAATATATTAATAAGTAGAAGAAAAATGAGAATGGGATATAAAAGTAACAAAAAAAATAACCAATCCCAAATATTGTCAAGAAAAATATCCAAAAACTTAAAAGTTTCAAATTATATTTTTTAAGACACGAAATTTTTAAAAAACAAAATTTTCGAAGTACAAAATTGCTTGAGGACGCAATTGCAATAGGACGTAATTTTTAAAATATATAATTTCTAAAAGACAGAATTTATAATGAAAAATATTTCTAAAATTTCTAAAAAGAATTTATCATCTAGTCTCTCAATAATATTTTACGAAGACTTTTCCATTGAAATTTTTATTAATAAAGAAATACATTGAGATGTAAAAAAGTTTTCTTTACAAAGTTTGATAACTCTGTCATTTTTCATAGAAAATTTAATTTATACTGACAATTTAATTCAATGACCCGAAATATTAATTTCCTATTAAAATAGGTAATTGTCACTTAATGACATATTGATAATTTAATAACAACAAATAAATTTCATTTATTAAAAATTGACTTTCAAATTTTCAAGTCTTCTACTTTTTTTTAAAAAAATGTCCAATGCAAAAAGGAATTTTTTTGGAAAAATTGTAATTTTAAAATTCAAAACATTGCATGAAAAGTTTATAAATTATTTTCTTTTCCATAATTCGCGTTAATTTAAGTAAATTTTTTTTTGGAAATTAAACAAATAACACTTTTGTTAAGAAAATTTTTAATTTTTGTAAATTTAATAATATGAAATTTCAAATAATTTAATTTTTGCGCAGAATTTTATTAAAATTTTTCAAAATAATGCAATTCTGTCAAAGAATTCTATTTACATTTTTCAAAATAATTAAAATCTCTCAAGGAATTTAAGTGAAACTCAATTAAAAAAAATTGTGAATTATTAAAAAAAGTTTTATCAAAATATTTGAAAATAATTTAATTCTTTTCCAAAAATTTATTAAAACTTCCAAAAATAATTGAATTTTTGACATGATTATTAATTTCTATAAAAATAATTTAATTATTATAAAGAATTTTATTAAAATTTTTAACAATGATTGAATTGTGTCGAAGAATTTTCTTTAAATTACTAAAAATAATTCAGTTCCTGCGAAAAATGTTTTTATTTCTGAAAACAATTGAATTCCCACGAAGAATTTTATTATTTTTTAAAAATAATTGAATTATGATGACGATTTTTATTAAAATTTTTAAAAATAATTCAATTCTTTTCAAGAATTTTATTAAAATTACTAAAAATAATTGAATTCCGGCGAAAAATGTTATAATACATAAAAATAATTGAATTATTATGACAATTTTTATTAAAATTTTTTTTTGAATAATTCAATTCTTTCTAAGAATTTGATTAAAATTTCTAAAAACAATTTAATTGAGGTGAAAAATTATATTATTTGTAAAAATAATAATTTAATTATTACCTATAAAAGAAATTTATTTTTTCTGCAAATAATTGAATTCCTGACAAGAATTTTATTTTTTTCCAAATAATTAAATTATGAAGAATTTTATTAAAATTTTATAAATTTATTGAATTCTTTCGAAGAGTTTTATTCACATTTGTAAAAATAATTAAATCATTAAAAACCTAAGAGAAATTTAATTATTTTTAAAACTAGTTCTTTAAAAAAAATAGTTTTTTTAAAAATTATTTCGAAGAATTTTATTAAATTTTTTTAAAGTGATTGAGTCTCTTGAAAGAATTTTATTAATTATGAAATTAAAATTGAATTATTATGAAGAATAGTGGCAACATTTTTTAAAAATAATTGAATTCGCATAGAATTTTTTTTTTATTAAGAAAATAATTAAATTAGTGGAGAGAATTTTTTCTATTTATGATAAAAAAAAATTGAATTCTTATGAAGAATTTTATTAATATTTTTAAAAATAATAATTAATAATAATTAATTAGTTAAAGAGGTGAATAATTTTCAATTTTAAATATAAGATAATATTCAAACATCAAAGTTGATATTCGAAAATAAAAAATTTTGTAATTTGCAATTGTGAATAAAGTAAACACCGCGTTTCTAATTCGAATTCAAAACTAATTTGTTAATTAGTGCTAATTAATAGTAAATAATAAAATCGAATAATTTAGATTTCTAATGGGGGTTTTGTGACCAAAAAAAAAAATTTATTTTTACTAATTTTTTCCCACACGAGTTTTGATTTCAAATATGAAAAAAAAACTTTGTTTTTCCAATAATAATAGTTTGGCGAATATTATATAAAAGGCCAATATTATTGGCGAATATTAATACACACTGGACTTCCGGAAAATGTTGAATGGCGACACTTAGCAAGTGAACCGTGTAACATACAAAGTTCGAGATATTTTATAGTTTTAATCTCAAGAGCTGGTGAACTTTAAACGCCAGAGGTGTATAGTATACGAGACGAGCTTTGATAATCCCAAAGTGTGTTACGCATATGGATTAAGTTTGCATATTTACCCTTGAGAAATGCCATTTTCGAGAGCTCAACTTGATTCTCGTCATACACACAAACTGTCTATTTGCACACTATACATACATATAAGTGTACACCTTTTTTATGGAAAAATTAAATTTTCGTACACATTTTTATGGTTTATTTTGCGCACAAAAAATGTTGATAGTATAATAATTTTAAATTTACTCGAATCGAGAAAATAATTCCGCAATTAATAAATTCCGCATCAGTATTTCCTTTTCTTTCCCAAATAATAAAAATATTGCGAATATTTCAGCGTAAAATTAAATTTTATACTATAGACACAATTGTGTAAAAAGAGGAGAAAAAAAATGTTTATGGCATTACACATTTTTATTATACATTTTTTTTTCAAAATTAAAATTCAGTCTGTTTTTGCTGTTAAATATGCGCATGTAATTTTGTATTTAATAAATTAAACCGCGCTGGAGAGTTTCATTCTTTTTCTCTTTTCACAATAATTAGAACTTCTTTTATATTTCTTATTACAATTTCTATTTTTCAAAAAGGTTTTATAAAATATATTTAATCAGCGCCAATAATTTTACTAGAAACAATAATAAATTAATTATAATATAATAATAATTAATATTAATGTGTAAATTTATGCGATTGACGCAAATAATATTAAAGTGGAGAGAGAGAGCGAAATTATAACAGTTCGAGCTTTGATTAAACAATATGGAAATTATTTAATTATTTAAACAATATTCGATATAAAATATAACTATATTTGTAACAAAGTAATTAATATAGTTTATAATAATTAATTAATTTTTAATCATTGTAATTAATTAATATAATAATTAATTAATTCATAATAATTATAATTAATTAATAATTAATATAATAATTAATTAATTCATAATAATTATAATTAATTAATAATTAATATAATAATTAATTAATTCATAATAATTATAATTAATTCATAATTAATATAATAATTAATTAATAATTAATATAATAATTAATATAATTAGTAATGAATAATTTATTTTCGAAATTGAAAATTTTCAGCTGCAGCTCAACATCATCATCATGAACCAACAATGAAATCAGCACATTGTAGCAGTGAACCGAGACTAAATGAAAATGACGTTAGTCCTGGTTTTCGAAGGCGGGGCAGTAGACGGGGTCAAAGTATGCATCACACTCATCACAGAAAGAGCAATGCATTTCTTGACGTGCCCGATGTTTCGGTTCAAATACCACCCCGCGAAGAGGGCGAGGACGAGGACAGTTACAGACTTCGAAGTTTTAGTCTCACCAGTAAAGGTTCGTTTTTCATTTCTTTTTTTTCTCATCACGATAAATATATTAAATCAAAGGAAAAATTAACGTAAATTTTAAAAATTATTTAAAAAAACAAACTATAAATTTGATTTAGTAAAAATGTTTATTACTTTGAATTTTTGAATTCAACTGAATTTTTGCTTTTGCGTTTGGAAATTTTACTAATAAATAGTAATTTCTACAAATTTATTAGTAAAATTTACATTAATTAGTAAATGTAATAACTAAATTTACTTTAATTAGTAAATTTAATAAGTAAATTTAGTAAGTAAATTTACTTTAATTTGTAAATTTAGTAAGTAAATTTACTTTAATTAGTAAATTTAATAAATAAATTTACTTTAATTAGTAAATTTAATAAGTAAATTTACTATAATAATCTTGGTATTTCATTCTTTCATTTTTTCTGTCCGCCCACACTTTGAAGTTAGTTTTTTTGTGATTATTAAGAAAATTATGATTAACAAACAAATTTTGTTTATTGCTTTTTTTTATAACAAATTTTGGTTTACTGATCTAATTGTTGTTAGTTTATAATAATAATTAAATAAATTAAATAGTGAAAGTTTACTAATAACTTAGTAGAAATTACTATTTGCTAGTAAAATTTTTCTAACTCAAAAGCAAAAAGTCAGTCTCACTAATCTTAATTAGTAAACATTTTTATTAATGTAAATTTAGAGAGAATAAAATGAAATGTAAAGGACAAAATCTAAAATACAAAAATACCTAAATAAACAAATAAAAAACTAAATAAAAAAAATGAAATGAACCGCCCGTTTAAATTAACATAAATAAAAATAAACCAAAATGTAAATTAAAATCGAAAAAAAACTGTTTAAAATTAGGAAATAAATTATTTAAAAAATATTATTTTTATTGAATTATTTTATTCATTATTAAAAAAATATTTTGAAAAATTATGCAAATTTTTCTCCATTTTATTTATAAAAAAGATTACAAAATTGTTCATTGTTAAAAAATTATGAAAAAATTGTTATAAAATATGAAGATATCGATTGCTCCGAGTCGAAGACTCGGAGTGATTGATTTCTTCATGTTTTATAACAATTAAAGATAACCGACTGATAAAATAATTATTTGATATTATAAAAATATTGTTAATCTAATTTCTTCAACATTATTTTCATCATTTTAATTTAATTATTATTTTCTAGAATTTTTGACTAAAATTCTTCTCTAAATCAACTATTTTTAATAATTTTTTGAAAAAGTTTTTCGTGATTTTATATTTAATTATTATCTAAAACTTAAACTAAAATTTATATTTAAATCAATTTTTATTAAAGAATTCTACGAGAATTCAATCATTAAAATACAATTTTGTATTTTATTTTAATTATTTACTTTTAAGTAAATAATTTATTGAATAATTGAATGATTCTTAAAATTTAATTTCTATAAAGAATGTTGTCAACAAATTTTTAAGTAATTGAATTCTTTTGTTAAATTTTAATCAAATTTTTAAGAATAATTACATTTTTCGATAAACTCGATAAAAATTGCTTTTAAAATAATTGAAATTGTACGATGAGTTTTGTTCTTTATGAAAATATTATTAAATTTCTAAAAAAAAATTTACTATTTATGAAAATAATTGAATTATTGGAAAGAAATTTAAAAAAAATTTGTAAACAATTGAATTTCTGTGAAAGTTTTATTAATTATGGAAAAAATTAAATGATAGCGTACAATTTTATTAAAATTTTTTTTTAAGTAATTGAATTCTTTTTGGAAAATTTTATTAAAATAGTAGATATTGAAAATCATTTAAGTAAGAAAAATTTTTGAAAATAATTGAAATTAGGACAAGAATTTTATTGACATTTTTGAAAATATAAATTGAACTTTAGAAAAGAATTTTGTTATTTATAAAGACAATTGGGATTTTGACGAGAATTTAAAAAAAATTTTGAACATAACTGAATTTTGTAAGAAGAATTTTATTACTTTTGAATATAATTGAATTTCTGCAATTATTTGAAACTTCTCCAAAATTTATTTTTTTAGTGTTTTTAACAAAAATTTTGATTAAAAATTTTTATATTCTATTATTTTTAAAATTGCTAATTTTATTTAAAAAAGTAATTGTTGCTAGTTTGTAATAAGAATTTAATAAATTAAATAGTTAAATTTTACTAAAAAATTAGGAGAAATTACTATTTATTAGTAAAATTTACTAATTCAAAAGCAAAAAGTCAGTCACTAATCTTAATTAATAGACATTTTGACTAATGCAAATTTAGAGACAATAAAATAAAAATATAAAGTAGGTACAAAAGCTAAAATACAAAAAATAAATGAAAAAAATTAAAAACTAAATAAAAAAATAAATAAAATGAACTGCCCGTTTAAATTAACATAAATAAAAATAAACCAAAATGTAAATTAAAATCGAAGAACAACTTTTTAAAATTAGGAAATAAATTATTTGAAAAATGGTTAAATTAAACTTAAATCACAATTATTTTTTATTATTAATTATTAATTATTAATTAATAATTATTAATTATTAATTAATAATTATTAATTATTAATTAATAATTATTAATTATTAATTATTAATTAAAAATTATTAATTAAATTATTATATAAAAATTAAAACTATTTATACCACAAAACCTCGAAATATTAAATGAATGAATAATTAAAATCTCGAAATACAACGAAAGAAAAATATTGAAGACTCAAACTATTAACATTTTAATGAACTAATTATTATTAATGATATTCTCAAGTGAAATTAGTGTCACGTTTTATGCGAAACGCGCGCTCCTCATTCTCAAGAACAATGACACATTAAATTGGTGAATTAAATTAATAATTAATATTGTCTTTTCGATTTGGAATATATTCAGAAATTTTGTATACACGTAGAAAATTATATTATCTTTCTAATTGAAAAATTATCAATGAAAATTTTTTTTATGAATGCTAATCTTTATCAGAAATAATAAAATCAAAGAACGATCAAAAATTAAAATGCTAAGATAGCTCTTTGATGGCGCGCTTTACATAATTATGATATAACTTTAATTACAACTAAGTTCATTTAATCGTTAATAAACTGATTTCACGTCTCTCCTTCGAGATCAAAGTATAATTATTTAAAATAACAGCGGGGTATGTATATCACTTTAAATATATATTTCTTTATTAATTCGTTCAAAATTCTATTCCTACAAAATTCTAATTTAATTATATTTATAATAATTTATATTAATTTATTTCTATCTGTGAATAGTAAATATTAAAAATATAATATAATATAATATAATATAATATAATATAATATAATATATAATAATAATAATAATAATAATAATAATAATAAATTGGAAATTAAAATTCTAAAATAATTGAATTATCGTAAAATTTTCAAAAATTCCGAATTTCCTGAGAGTAATTTATTGCAGAATGAAAAATGACAGTTTGGTTGTAGAGAAGAAAAAAAACTGTCATTTGAAGATAAACAAAGATAATCCTCGAGATCTTCTTCTTCTTCTTCTAACTTGGGAGAATTTTTTTCTTTACGTCTATTTGAACCGTCCTGCGAAATTGCCCTCGAGGGGTTAACTTGTGACCCCAACTGTCTGATGCTCGCTTTGCTCTCAAGTAGAAACTTAACTTGTATTGGGTTCCTCCAAGACGGAACATTCTAGTTCTTTTTAAACTCTTTACTTTCTTTTTTTCATTCTCTTTAGCATTTTGAGATTTTCGATCCAATTTCAACTTTGATAAAGAAAAAATTTTTTCTTTATTCCTTTTTTTTTTAATGAAAAAAATTCTCTTATTTCGTAATTAAAAATATATTTTTATTTTATCGTATTTTATTAAAATTATTTACAGAGAATATTGAAGATCTTTCGCTCCTTATTTTTTTTATTTTACATAAAACGTAAGGAAAAAAATATTTATAATATAAATATTTTTTATTTTTTATTATATCCTCATTATCTCGAAAATAAAAAAAAAAATTCTTTTCTGTTTTTTTAAGGAAAATGTGTAGAGAGATTTTATTTTCTTTTTGAGTAAAATTATTTAAAGTAGCAATTTTTTATTTGCATAAAAATTTATTATTTTATATTTCCTATTTTGTGTATTAAAAATTTAAAATACGTTTATGCGCTTTACAATATCGCCAAGCGGAAATACGCGGAATAAGAAAAAAAAAAGAAGCGCTCAGCCCTATCAAATCTCACTTAAGAAGATTTATGTTACTTACAAAAAAGAAAAAAATAATGCACAAAGAACGGGGGGATAAACTCGATAAAAAAAATTGCAAAATAAATTCTCTTTCACAATTTTACAGCAGATTCTGAAAAATTCTTTGCGAACGGGAAAAATTCTCAAATATTTTATTCCAATATGAGTATTAAATATTTATTATAATATAAATATTAATATTAATATTATAATTACAGTGAAAATTATATTAATATATTTATTATTTTTATTGATTTATTAATTAATAAATTGTTCAAGTTATTAGTAGTATTACAGTTAAAGTTATCATTAATTTTGGAAAATAATTTTAAAAATAGAATTTTGCTTTCTTAAGCTTTAGATTCTTTCGGGATTATTTTCAAAAGTAATAAAATTTCTCTCATAAAATCCAATTATGTTCAAAATATTAATAAAATTTGCGTCAACATTCTAATTATCTTTATAAATAACAAAATTCTTTTCCAAAGTTCAATTTTCAAAAATTTCAATCAAATTCTTGTCCTAATTTCAATTATATTCAAAAAATTTTCTCATTTCAATGATTTTCAATATCTACGATTTTAAAAAAATTTCCAAAAGAGAATGCAATTATTTAAAAAAAAATGTACTCAAACATTTAATTATTTTCATAAATAATAAAAATTTCACAGGAATTCAATTATTTACAATTTTTTTTTTACAAATTTCTTCCCAATGATTCAATTATTTACATAAATAATAATTTTTTTTTAAGA